GGCATTATAGAGCATATACAAGTCACAGATTCTGCGCAGTCTGGTATGAACTGAAGTCACGATGGAATAAAAACGTTCAGCATCAACGTGCTTCCGGGCCCGAGCCTGATCCGGGTCCGTGCTACCTGGCCCGGGCTTTCTGGTTGGCCCGGCCTCGTGCAGAGCTCTACTAACAGCTACCGCTGTAAAATGAGAGCTGGCGGCCGTTGTCACGTTTATTCCCGTTAGTTTGCTCCGAGCCTTCGAAAAACAAAGATTCAGCTGGCTTGGATAGAATTAAAAGGGATATGATGGGTCCGAAATTTGGAAGAACGGAGGGAGACCCATGTTTATCGTTCGGTCCGCCAACGCACACAGACAGACGCGCGAAACACGCCTGCCACCGCGCAGCAAAGGGAAGGTCCGCCCGAGCGCTGTCCGATTCTCCGGCGGAGCACGCGCAGCTCCGCCCATCCGGGCATCGCAGCGGGGTCCGCTCCGGCCGACCCCTTGATTTAACCCGGCGCGCGAGAAATGACTACATCAATCAGCGGAGCCGTCGTCGTCGTCGCTGTGCTCGCGCCTCGGCCTCGGTGGTCATTAGGCCCACAAGTGGCCGCCTCGAGGGCCGTCTTGCTGCTGCTCGCCACCGCGCTCTTTTCTCCACTTGCGCGGCTCGCTCCATAAGCTCAGATTGCTTGGTGCCGGAAGCAGAGAAGCACCGAGGCGAAATTATCTGCACTTTCCAGTGCGCGCCATGTAGCGTATACGCGCCAACACTCGAGGCCTTCTCCTTTCTCTTCCTTTTCTTGCGTTGTTTTTTTTTTTTTTTTTTTTTTTGCTTGTTTTACGGTCTAAGCGGTCTGGACGAAGAAAGTCCGTGCGTCCGCTTTCCCGCGCAACACGCTGAAGTCCGGTCATTACAATCTTTGGAGGCAGCCTAATGAGAGAATGAAGCAGAGAACGCTTGGGGCGAAAAACCCGACCCGCGTTGGGACACTGAGCACGACGTGTGCTGGTCATGCCGACGCCCGGAACGCCCTCTGGGTCCGGATCGTTTTCTGGACCTCGTCATTCGCTCTTTTCGTCGGCCGCAATGACGGGCGCCCTGCGTGCTCTGCGAGATAAGCGACGTGACGGCTTGATCAGAGTGTCCTCAGAAAAAGTTAGTTCCTCTTCGAAAAAAAAAAAAAAAAAAAAAAAAAGAAGAATTCGCGCGCTGGATGTTGGTTTACAGACCAATACGTATTGGCGACTCCACCGAAAATGACGGCACCTAGCGGCTCGAACAGAAAAATGTGGCGGCAGTTTCGCTCGCCAGCCTTCTGGAGCGAATCAGATCTTCACAGCGCCTGGCGGTCTAAAGACGAAACCTTGAAAGTAGGTTCAAAAACAAGTGGCGGAAATCGCCAATACAAAATAAAAGAATGAAAAAAAAAAAAAAATCTACGAACGACAATCCAGCAGAATAGACCGATATCCCGAGCCAGTTTTGTTACGCCGCCGCTTCCGCAATGCATCGAGTGAACTTTAGTCTTTTTTGCACGTGGGAAAACCTCGGTGAAGCACTGCGTGTGCAGAGCACGAGTTGGCAGGAGGCGTCTCGAGAAGTGCCATCTGCCTTCTGTGAACTTAAGTTACGGCGGCGTCACGCGCGAGCGCCGAACACTTGGTAACATCCGTCCATTCAAGCTCGCGGTTGTAACGTAGCTTTCACTTGAGTCCCAGGGGGAGCGATGGCACGTGTAGCGAAAGCTCGTACTGCAGAACCCAGGGATCCTGGGCTCAAGGATCCTGGGCTCAATTATCACCCCTGCCCGTTCGATCTGGATAAGTATCGCAACGGCCTGCGGTCGTGTATCGCTACTGCGTGGTGCACGTTAAAGATCCCAGGCTGGTGGTTGTACTGCACTGGCTAAATTGCTTATCTACAGCTGAGGCACCAAAATCCCATTGGGAGTGTCTAACTTCCGGCTGTGTAAATAACATACATACAACACAATTTTTAACTTGAGTCTCGATCGAGCAGTTTCATAAGCAGTTTTTTCGTAAGAGAGCTAAATGCAGTTATAGGGTCGTGGTTCCATTTACAGTTAAACGATACGGACTTTTAGCGAACCGTTACCGTGTTCCGCATACCGCACCCTTAAGCTGAGACTGCAGCCAAAGCTACAAGCGCGAGTTAGCCCGTGCTCCTGGCTTTGAGACGAGCGTTTTTAGCGCGAGTGCTCATTCTGCGGAAGGACGCTTCAAAGCATCGACCTCGAGCTCTCACGCTTGTGGCATTAAAGTATATACACCTTTCCATGAAAGCGTATGAGGGCGCGTTCGTTTTTGTGTTATGCACGCGCACTTTCTGGCTGGCCGCAATTGCGAGCAAACGCTGGCTGAACTGTGATTTAGCACGCGTGAAATGGGATTTTTGTAAACGATGGAAACGTGCATACCGGAGCCTTTAATGCATGTTTTTAAGCGTGCGCCCGGAGTGATACCGTGATCGCGGGGCACGCGCTTAAAAACGCCCTTCAAAGGCTCGGGTAGTGCGGTACGCGGAACACGGTAACAGTGTACTAAACGTACCTAATACCCCTACAGAGTGTAATAAAATGCTCAACCTGCCTCCTTTTTTTTTTTTTTGTGGGGGGGGGGGGGGGGGGGGGCGTTTTCTTTTTTTCTAGCCCAGGACTAGCGAGGCTGCTTTTCGCACACGGATTATGCTGCGCTTTATAGGTCGGGATCGCGTGACCCCTCACTCCCGTGTGACCGTCGCACCTCCCTTTCTACCCATCATAGTATTGTTTCCAAACAAAGCTTCCTGTGTTCTTCTTAGATTTCCAGGGGTGGGCGGCGCGCAAGCATTGCATCAGTGCGAGCTTGCATAGCTCGCTGCTGTCAGCGCGCCGTCAGTCGTCCCATCGGCAACCCGTCAGAACGCACTGCTTCGGAGGGTGTCAGCAGCCCCTAAAACAAAAGCGGCGTCAGTCGCAGAAGCGAGGTTCGCGGGGGGCCCTGTCACTGTCCAAGATCGATTCCCGACTCGCAAATGCAGCCGGTGATGCTTCTGGCAGGCCGGGTTAATACATCACCAGAGCGGGCCCCGAACTGCACGCGCTCCCATCGATCGACGCAGACGTCGGTTCTCGCTCGCGCGTGCCGCCGCGTACCCCTGCCGTTATGACACAAAGGCAGGCGCGAAGGACGATTTCGCCGATGGAACCGGAGGCACGGGTCCAAACGGGAGCCCAAAAAAAGAGCCTGGCTCAGGTGCGGGGTGGGCCCCGTTCGGGACTAAGCCATGGCACTGGAACGGAAGCTACGTGTCCGGGCCACGCAATCGCAAATCTCGAGATGCACGACTCGCGCACTTCCGAGATGCACGGCCACGGGAATCGCATTCCCGTGCTGAGGCCGGTGGTTGGTCCGGCTGCAGTGCTCAGCTTCCACGGCGCACTCCGCTAAGGGCGAGAGAAACGCTAGCGGTCGTGTATGCGAGGCTTGTGCGTGTGGCGGCACTGTGTGCCCCCGTGTCAACAGCAGGCGCTCTTTCTTTCGGGCGATTGCCGAGCGAGGAGCTCCCCGCGAGTAGCGCACCTTGCGAATTGCGGGGCTGTTGGGGGCGGGACCGCGCACGCCTTTGTGCCGCGGTGCTCACTTGGAAAGGCGCGCTGTCGATTACCCGTATTCGTCGGCTGCACGGCCGGCCGCTGTGCTTGACAGCGCCGGGGAGCGCTCTAGTTCGTGTACGACGTGCCCCACTTCAGTTTGTAGTACCATAGCTATGGTATATAGCTATGGTATATAGCTATGGACCTGCGCCCGCGTCGTCCCTTTGAACGCTTCGCTGTTGCCGTACATTGTCAAATCTTTTTTTTTTCTTTTCTTTTTTTTTACGGTGGGTTGCATTTTGGATAAGTGTTTAGCGGTGGCTCGCGGGAGTTAAGACTTTTTCTTGGCAGGAGACCCTCTCATATACACTGAAAGCGCTAAGTGGCTACGTTTACATGAATGCGATCGTAGCCCATCGAATCGGGTAGGGACCAATCGCATGCAGCCTGCCTTCCTACTTCTTGCTCTTCAACCCATCTGCTACCAATTAAAACTATCATATCTCGACTCGATGTGCCACTGTCGCATTCATGTAAATGCAGCCTTAATTATGGGCCGGCAAAAAAAAAAAATTAAAATAAGCGCCGAAAAAAAAAAAGCAGACAAGGGCAAGACAGGTTAAACGAATCCAATTATATCTTTCAACCTGTCTCGTCATCGTCCTTTTCGGTGCTTTTTAGAAGCTCGGAAGATGAACCGAACGTCCCAATGAACCGCTTTAAGAGACAACAACCTTTTGTCAGCCGTGCACCTGAATTCAGGTAGCATAGTGGGCGTGCGCACTGTTTGAAGATGCGGCTCGGTGTTTGTCCAGTGGCGCTATACTCAATCTCGAGCGTTATGTGTAGTCTTGCGAGAAGCGGCGAGCGCGCGGCAGAACTGCTTCCTTTGTGCGAGTATGCGTACAAACGAAATACTTCGCGAGTTTGGTCTTCGCGCCTACGCCTTTTAGGGTGTTGCACAAAACCAGTGATATTGTGGTGATGAGCAGCAGAGATACAAATACTCATTTCAAATGTACCTCGATATTGAAATACAGATACTCGAAAGAATTTCCTTCGATACTATCGAGATACATTTGCATCGCGATACTGCCCAGCCCTGATACGCGCCCGCTATTGGGTGATCATTCCTGTTTAATTAAATACTAAAGTTACTGTTTACCATTTGCCTTTTTTCTGGTGCGCCGGGGATGTCGCTTGGCTATGTTGTCTCCCTGTTGTTTTTATGGTTTCGCAAAGTGCATACGGGGTTCCTCGGCACAAGCTATTATAGCCTTCGCACAGATCTACGCAACTTGCACAATTGTTTATTTCGACCGGATTTGCTTTCAGAACTGCTTATCCGTTCAACATGATCCGCACACATTGAATCACCGGGGCGAGACTCTAACCACGTCTTGTCGTTTATTACAGGCGATGCCTGGCGCACGGACCTGGACCTGCTGCTACCCCACCGGGAGCGCCTGGTGGTTTTAAGCTTCCTGAGCACCATCAACGAAACCGAGCTGTGGGACCGTGAGGCGAGCGAGGTGGCCCGGCCGCTACCTCACCTGGACGAAGCCGCCACGTCGGCCGAGTTCCTCAACTACGGACTCGCTCTGCTCGTCTACTCGCTGCGTTACCCCGCCGTCTTCTGGAAGAGTAACAAATGCTTCGCGCTGCTCTTCTCGCTTTACCTGGGCCTGTGCATGGCGCAACGACTGCTCATTTATACGGGCCTTGCCGTCCTCTACAAGGTCCAGGTGGCGGGCGTCCGTGAGGTACTGCCGGGATTCGGTCCGCTGTTCCTGGGCCTACCTTCGACGCTCTTCTTGTACGCCCTGTACAGCACGGCCCTTTCACTCTCGGGCCCCGTGCTTTATTCATATGGTCTGCTCAAGTTTCAAGAGTGGAAGGCTCGCGCTGCCATGAAGAACCATATCACCTGGAAGGGAGCCTTTCCGAGAGGTCTCTGGGGCCATGGACCGCACCTGTACGCCTTTTTCGTGCTCAGCGTGCTTGTGCTTTCCGGAGGCCCACTACTTTATGACCTTACCAAGGTCTACTGCGGTAGCCTGGATGGTGCCGTGCTGGCGGTCGTCGCGGGAATTCTGGCTCATCTCCTGCTGTGGATCGCGCTCTGGCTCGGGCTCACCCTCAAGCACGACTGGGACTTCTCGCCTGAGGGACCACAAGGAGATGTCAGGCAACTTCAGGGCGTCGCATATACTCCTCTGCTCAAGACCACGGGGGAGGTACCTCTGTTAGTCATCGACCAGGGTCACACCTACCAGGTTCGAGAGGCCTCCTCTAAGAAGGCCATCATCAGCTTGGCCACGAAATTCGCACAGGTGTCCAAGCTTCCCCACCCTTCAGAAGACGAGGACATATATTGGCTCAAGCCTCGGCTCCCATCTGCTGCCAAGGAACCGAGCTCGTCGCAGAATGGAACCTGTGAGCGTAGCACGTGGCTGAGAGGTCAGCGCAAGACATCCGGCCCCAAGCATAAGGTGACCTTCGAGGAGAAGGGATGCAGCCCCAGCAAGAAATCCGGCAAGTCTCCCAAGATTTTGAGCAAGTTGAGAAAGCAGCACGTATCGGGGGTCAAGTTTGAAGACGTCCTTTCTGACCCACACTCGGATGATGGTGGGGACTATGCCACGCTACGGGAGGTTTCTACACTTCGACGCGGGAGCCGGAAGGGCGACGAGGAGCCCTTTTATAAGGTGAGCTTTGAAACTATAGTTAGCTCGATATTAGATACGCCCATTCATGGGCGTTTCGAACCTCGTGACACTGACCAGCCATCTAATAACGGCCATCCTTCGCAGAGCCTGTGCCCTCTGGGAGACACGAGCGCATTGCTGCCGGAGGCTGACTACGAGCTTCTGCTTGTGGATGTGGCCACTACGCAAGTACGCGCCACGGTCCATGGCGGGCCCACCTCACCCTCGACAACGTTGACACCACGCTCAGACTGCGTGAGCGACACCTCCACGAGCCCGGAGAAAGGTGCCAGTAGCGAGTCGAGTGGTGTGCACTCGGCGTGTAGCGAAAGTATCAAGCGGGCCTCCAGTCTCGAGCAGCTGGTTGAACCGCTCAAAGGTTCTTCCACACCCTGGAAGAGCCTCTCCCTGCAGCGCAACATGGCGCCGCCGGAGCTGGTCATTCGCCGCGACGCGGACCCGTTCGGCCGCAAGACCAACGTTCGGTTAACGTCCTTCACGGACCAGCCGGACTTTGTGCGCCACAAGGCGGCCGCCGGGCTCCTGCATGCGCACCGCAGGGACTCGGCCAACTATTCGCTCACGTCATCGGGAGACTCGGACGCAGCGGCTTCTTGACGCGTTGCCGTGGGATTGTGAATAGCTCGAACACCACTCCTTGTGCCATACGTGACGTGCCAGTGATCCCCCCCTCCTCTTGGTACCGGACTCAGTCAACGCCGGGCCGCAAGCTCTGCGCCCCCTCCCGGTCCCTGTGGGACCGGGAGCGGCTCGTCCCTCGTTCCACCATCGGAACGGGGCGAACGCAGCCCGGCATTCGCAAAGCGTGGCTCCATTTTGTACGCGTAGTAAACCATCGTGATCCCTTCGCGCGAGTGATTGTACATACTTGTCGTGACCCACGCAAGTACCAGGACTTCTGTTCCACTTGTTCCGGAATCCTGAGCGTCCCCACGTGGTGAGCTACACTTTAGGAAGAGGAAGAGACGGTTACAAAGGGATTCTTTTTGTCATTTGTTGATGGTGTTCAGAAAAAATACAATGTGCCATTTAAGGTGATTACAGTAGAAGATTGTGCAATGAGTACATTGGGAAGAATGACGTCTGTCGCAAAGAGCAAAGCAAACAATATGCAGAATGGTTCCTTAGGGGCAAAAACAGGTCGTCGGTGCTAAACATTTATTTAGGGACTATGAACCGTTCTTCGGGTTTCCACAAAAAAGTACGTTCTCCCTCCATAAAGACCTCCTTTGGTATGCAGTATGGTTCTTACTGCATGCTCAAGAACTCCAGCGTTCCTGTATTTTGTCATTTCCTCTTTAATCACCGAAGGCGGTTTCCGATACGTTCGACGGAAGAACCCTTTTGGAACTGATGTTTTCTGAAATCTACGTTGGGGATCACTCTTCGGAGTCGTCGCACCGCACCATGTTCGCCTTGTTTTGTACAGTCATTATAACTTATTTTGAATGTATAAACGCGTCATACGTTGAACTGCCTTGTGTTGGGGAAGAGCCCCATGCGGCCAGGGGGCGCTAAACTACCGAAGCAATCAAACTTGTCTCGTGTTTTTAATTGGAGTCACTTTGAAGTATTCTTTTTGTGCCTTTTTGTTCTTCGCGAAATTTACGATTTATTTGTTTTCTCGTCGAGCTCAAAAGCTCGATGCAAAAGAGTGCAATGTGTACATCCCAAGTCGGCAAACACGATGTTCTGCCTTACTAAAATGCATTCCCGCGACGTGTTGTCAAATCCACCAAGCTTGATTCCATCAACTATTGCAGAGACGCACGAGAACACGTACAGACGTATTTCGCATGTAACTTGAGAAAAACCACCACCACCACTAGCGACCGAATGGCTCACTGACGCTTTTAAATTTTGCTACACCCAACCATCCATCAAACACTGACCCAATATTTTGTTTTGGAGTAAAAGAGAACCATCCGAAGCTTATGCAACAATTTCAAAGTTTGGTTTTCGTCTCGCATCCGCGGTTTCCCACAATACTGATGAAATGTAGCAACTTCCGGTACGCACTTCCACTTGGATACGCTGAAATTTTAACCCTGCTTTTTGGAGACTGTTCAGGGCCTCTGGAACCATTCGAAATTCCCATTTCCTTCAGCTCCCGCTGAAACCAAAGACTTGCTCTAAAAACAAAACAAAAAAAGAAAGAAAGAAAACGTGGGACCGCGAAAAATGGCATCCGCCAGACGAGCGGTCTTGGAGTTCATAAATTGCTGGCGGAATGCGCCGCCCGGTTTCAAGTTTGGAGAAACAAAACAGGAGAAACCCAGAAGAGGAGTCATATCTTTTTTGTTGTTGTGTTGGTTTGGTTATTCGTTTGTTGCTTTGTTCGTTGTTGTTGTTACGTGTGTCTGAACTTTTGCGGTGGCCTCTGCGCCGGCGCTGACGGCCCCGCACTCGGGGACGACGTCTTCGTGTCCCGGGTGTTCCAAGCGGTTGATCTCGTGGATCGCACGAACCCTGCACCCCCCGGAGTTTGCTCCAGAGTGGTCATTTTTGTGTCGATCCCTGAATAATGACAATAAACACTACGTCAATAAAGATACCTCTCTCCCCAAGAACGGACTCGAGTCTTCGCTTATTTTCAAGTTCCGTAGTCAGTGACAAGTGCGCGTGGTCATAGCAGGGGCTGGTGGTTACCGAGATGATCAGGTGACCTTCTCGGCAACCACCAGCCCAGACTTCTACGTCATCCGTTACAAGTAACGAAATTACTTGTAATCCCTTACATTTATCGGGAATTTAGTAACGGAATAATTACATATTTTCTAGAGTAATTTTAAAGTAATTCCCTTACATTTCTTACGTAACAGATTCCTTGTAATCCGTTACATTTTTTTCAGGACCAGCCCCCCCCCCCCTTTTCTAAAGAAAATATCGTTTTTATTTTGATAAATTTGAGCGCAGTGAAACTGTCATACGAATTGACCAGCGCAAAGGGAGGCTTGGCACTCCAATTTCGCCAAGTCTTTTTTTGCAACACCAGGTCCCTGAATCTATTTTTTTTACACCCTAACAACAATGTCAAACAATTCAAATAAACATTTCTAAAAAAAAAAGGGGGGGGGGGGGGCAAGGTATATCCGCTTTTTTTAGTGTCTGTTTTTTTTTTTGTTTTTTTTTTTTGCATTTGAAGATGGGAACAGGAGGACACCTACTGATTGTGTGCCTCTCCGAGAAGCTCGAGACGGGAAGTGCACAGACAAGATTTAACAATGTCCTTCTCGGTTATAGTGACTACAACCATTTTCATAATGTCACAACACGAGACAACGCTCCGTCTACCTTAAAATTCACTAAAAGAGATATGATAATATGTGAAGGTGTTACTGTCACAACCATCCTCGTTCGTTGCTGCACACTTATCTTCTTTTAACATGATTTATTCTTTTCTGCTTCTTTCACCTTCTTTGCTTCTCTTTTAAACTGAGCTACTTACTTTTTCTTAGTCCAACTTCCAGGGTTGGCCCACTTTATTTGTGAACTCCAGCCAGGTTATCTACATCTCAGTCACCCTTTTTGTGAGTCAACTTTTCGCGAGCACTTCGAAAGTGGTAATAATCGTCCTTTTTTCTTCTTCCTGTCTTTACCCCAGCAGGACGCATCTTATCTCGAGCAGATATTTTTTACGAATAAAACATAATGGTGGCTGACGTAGACTTGATATTCTGGGCTGGAGGAGCGAGTGAAACTCGTGAGTGGGTCCATAGTTTGTCTAACTTAGTATTCTACCTTTCACTGCCCTTGGCATCAGCGGACGTCTATCTGGAGAACACCGGAGTAAACTGCAGTCGGCCCGTGCTCCGTGCGTTTTTGAACGGCTCCAAGAAAGGTACATACAGCAAACGTGCGTTTACATTTCTTTGTTTTAACCGACGTTCTAACTAGTTGTTGTTATGAGTGTCCTGGTGTTTTTTTTTTTCTCGATTACTTATATTAATACATTGGAAACTCTTATTCACCAACGTCTCAACCGACGCTCGACCTGTTCATAATTAAAGAAAGAAGAATACCGAGCCAAACCTTACTTATTATTTAATTATCAAGTTACTCTTACCAACTCTACTAAAACTCTCGAATATAAGGCAAAGATGAAGCCTTGCTCTATCTTCCAGCTAAATAGTACTTCCATTGCTTCGCTGAAAAAGCTCAATGCAGAGCATTAAATATTCGTGAGGCACAATATGGAACTCCCATCCACTGCCTCGGTTCAAAGTGTGTTGAGCGTAGCAGTCGACATCTTCAGTAAGAAATGACGCAAAATGTCTGACGAGACTTTCGAGAGCCAGCTGTTGCTCGAAATACTCAAGGCCAATAAATGGAACAGGTACCAACAATAAGAACTTGAATAACCCTCTTCCTCTTGTTTCTTAATTGAGTACAATAATGTTGAAAGTAACGCTACGAAAGTAACGGATTACTTTTGGGGGTAACGGTCACTTACTTTTATGGGAGGGTAATTGTAATTGTAAAAAATTACAATTTAGCCTTGAGTAATTGTAAATGTAATTCCTTACTATTTTTCAGTAACGTGTACAAGTCTGCACCAGCCCCTGCGATTGTTGTATCAGTCGATATCGGCGACGAACTAAATAATTGTGTTCCATGAAAAGCTCCTTTCCTAATATTCTTTTCTCTAAAACATCTGAACATATACAAACGCAGCATGCTGCGTTTATATATGTACCCCCGTTGACATCACAAGCCCCACCACCTAATCCGGCCGTTTTCTGTGTCTGCAATCCCCACACCTTTTTGATATCTGGATTTTTCATAGAGTTAAAACAATGGGATCTAAGCTTCGCGTTTCATCAAGCAGTTTGAGTCAAAGGTATTTTTTTAAGAAACCGGCAAGAACGCCAAACAAGGGAGAGGACTCTTGTAGTTCACATTGTCCGTGATGCTCGCCCTATCTGTAAGAAAAGTTCCAAGTAAACGACTAAAATAAGGCGATGGGGAAAGCACGTGCAAATTGTAATTTATTTTAAATTCTGGTTTTAATTTAGTCGCTGCAGCACACGCCAGCACATGCAACGCGTGTACGTACAGTCGGGGGAAATGCGAAAAAGGTCAAGCTAGCGCGTGGCTCCGGAAGCATCCAGCGCTAACAGCGGAAAGCCGAGTTAGCAGGTATGATGCGCATGTGTAACATTTAAAACACTTTTTTTTATTATTATTATTATTTCCGGCTGAGACGGCCATCTTCCGCTTACTCGGTGCTTATCTCGGCGCTGACTTTAGATGAAGCTTAGAGCGTTCAACAGCCAAATAGCGAAAGCGATTGTGCCTGTTGAGCCCTTAGTATGTGAGCGATTGGGGACGAAGCCGTAAGTAAAGGAATTAGTACAGTTTTTTTTAATCCGTGTTTCATCGAAAGCTTAAGTGTATTTAGTATCGTGATTTATTTTGCTTTTTATCTTTTTTAGGACCGCATTGTTCAAAGTTGCGAAATATACTCTTGGAATGATCACGTTGTCTCCCTCCCCTTGTACATATCATCTCATAATCATCATGCCTAGACGTGGCACCGCGGGCCTCCATGGTACGGGCAGTCACCTTTCCGCGGCGCCACGGCTCTTCTGAGCCAATAACGATTATTATGCATTATCAATGAATTTCGTGGCTGCCTGAAAACGAACGTAGCCGATAGTCTAATTAAACATTTCGGCACTGATCTCACTCTTACTGTGAACAAGTTCAATCGCTCCTTCGCAGGCGCAGGCGTTGTCGCATCTCACTGTGCTGGGGATCGATTGCCCGCAGCCTCGTCAATCACGGAATCTGCATTTCTTCCTTCTTTAACGGAGCCAGACTTGCGTTCTTATCTTTTTGGGTTTAAACGTTTCCGGTCGGCCGGTGTGGATGGCATTGCAGTAGGTGACCTATGCCGGAATTATGACTCGTTAAAGGACGTACTTCTCGTTCTGATAAATAACATTCTGGATTCTGGCATTGTCTGCAACGAATTAAAGCAAGCTCTGGTAGTTCCGCTTTTTAAGGGTGGTGTACGAAACGAGATTTCCTCGTATAGGCCTATCTCTATACTGTCTTGTATTTCACAGATTCTGGAGAAACATCTTTTTGTCGTTATGTCAAGTTTTCTTGAGAAACACGCAGTAATATCGCCAAACCAATACGGTTTTGTCGCTGGTCGTGGTACCACCAATCTTCTAGAAACCTTTTCAGACTTCCTTCACTCTTCTTTCGAACACAACATGTATGTGTGTGCACTCTTTATCGATGTTGCTAAAGCGTTTGATACAGTAGACCATGACATCCTCCTAGACAAGCTGTATAGATTGGGATTTCGTGGCCCATTTCACGCACTGCTCAAATGTTTTCTTACAAATCGCACACAGGTTGTAGCGGTAGGCAATGTCCATAGTGCAAAGGCCCTCCTAAGATCTGGAGTCCCTCAGGGTTCGATTTTGTCACCACTGTTATTTAACATATTTGTGAACGACATTTCATCATCCATTACCAATTCAATAATGTTTCAGTACGCTGATGACACTGTTTTGCTTTCTCGCCATCTAGTGTACCAGCGTGCAGTGGACATGCTCCAACTGGATGTAATTAGCGTCATGGACTGGTTTTCGGTAAACAAGCTTCGAGTAAATGCCTCTAAAACAAAGCTTATATGTTTCTGCAATCCCTTAAAGAATATAAGGTTGACCTATCCGCTATTTCTCCACAACTCCGGTTGCTTGTGTACTCAGTGTGATCCTATAGAATATGTGAGTTCGATCAAATACCTAGGCATTTACTTTGATTGCGATCTTTCTTGGACTACTCATATGACGCATCTTTGTCAACGGCTAAGGTCAGTGTCTTGTATGCTATACAACATAAAAAGATTCCTACCTTTCTCCATCAGGAAAAGGGTTGTGCACGCTCTGGCCTACGGTATACTAAGGTACGGGATCACAATTTTTTTTAATTGTCCACTCTTCTGGCATTCCAGAATTGACCGAATTCTAAACGCAATCCTCAAGAACGTCACGTATAACACACCATTTTCGTCAAACGCTAACTTGTTTGGTTCGCTTGAACTGCCCTCATTCCACTCCCTCTTTCTTCAAACGGTGATCTGGCGCCACTTCTGGGAGAGCGAATTTAAGGTCACATCAGATTCGCCGCGGGAACTAAGGACTACCTCTCGTTTTGATATACCACGAGTGAGAACGCGATATGGTGAAAGTACGCGCGCTTTTTATGTGCCGAAAGTGTTCAATGATTTACCAGACTCAATATTTTCCATTACCTCAAACAAGAAATTAAAGAAAACTCTAAAAACAACATATTCTGACGTATCGCGACAGTGACTGTGAGCTTCATATGATATCGGTGAAACGTTGATTATTCTGTTTGCGATATTATTTTCCTTTTCATTTCCCAATTTTGTCCTGAAGTAGATTGTTGTTTTATCTGCATCATCGTGAGGCCCTAAGACCTCTGCGAGTTTGCCCAGTGATTTTTTTTTTTCGTTGGTGCTCTTTTTTTGTTTTAGTGCCCTACACTATTTGTAACTACAGTCTTGGTCTGTTCGTCCC